AAAAATTTGATCAAAGCTCCTCATTAATTCTTCCTTTTTTAATTTTTGATGGAAGTATAATGTTCAAAATACCCATTCTCGGTCTGCAAAACTGGTTAACGCCTTAAAGTACATGAAATGTAAAAAATTGCTTTAGAAAATGCATGCCATTTAACATAATAAATGACATTATTTGATCCCTGTCCCAGCCCCATAAGTGTATAAACATGGACGTTAAACCATTAATAAATGGCCACATAAAATTTCTTATAAAAATTTTATGTGGCCACCCCGAAAATTATTTTTAAATGCTAGAAATGTTTTATATTTTGACCACCAATTTATTTTTAATATATTAAAAAGGTTGTTTTATTTAAATTAAATATTTGAAAAAGTTATTAATAACCAACTAACAGTTATATTATTTTTTTAAAATTCAGATTTTTTTCGAAAAGTTATATGGTCTCTATGGATATGAAGGGCAAAGGTGGAAAAATATGTTTTAAAAACACTAATCTATATGGCATTGAAAAAGATGTGCCTTCAAAAGATGTAACGCTTTTCCATTCATTATTTATTTTTTAAATCTTCTCTTTTTGATATTTTATATATATATTTTTTTTATTTACAGCTTCTTCTATTGTATTCAATGGACCAAAAGAACCATCGGTTAATGGAACATTGTTTGACTTTCTAAATTACGCTTTATTTCAAAAAGGTGGTGGAAAAGAGAAGAAATTTGTGTAGATTTTATTCAATTACATGTAAATATCTGTAATATTTGAATATGTATTTTTAAATAAAACAAGTTTTATCTCTTTCTTTAATCATACCTAGCTTTACTAAACTAAACTGAAAAAGTTCTAAATAGTCTAAGTATAGACTATGAATAGATTTAATATCCATAATATACCTTGATAATGTACAGCAACACTAATGTACATGCATAGTACGTTTTGATGGTGATCATATTTTGACGCACATAGCACGTTTACATACATATATACATTTTGACACACATAGCACGTTTTGATGGTGAAAAAGTGTTTTACAGTCGTTTAACGTTAATAAATCAACGTTAAACACTATCATTTTAAACGTTGTATCAACGTAAATTCAACGTTGTTGTAACGTTTTTTCGCGTCGAATCAACGTTGATATAACGTTTGAACCTAACGTTGATTTAACGTTGATAAATTAACGTTGAAAAAAACTTTCATTCTAAACGTTAAATCAACGTTAATTCAACGTTATTGTAACGTTTTTTCGCGTCGATTCAACGTTGATATAACGTTTGAACCTAACGTTGATTTAACGTTGTAAAATCAACGTTGAAAAAAACTTTCATTCTAAACGTTAAACCAACGTTAATTCAACGTTAGGTTTCAACGATATTTCAACGTTATTTCAACGTTATTTGCCGGCTGGGATAGTTTATGCAAAATTGATTAAACTTTGTTTGACAAAAGGGTTCAATTAATAAATTATTGTTTCGTAAAACATATTTGTTTATAGCTTTATAAGTAAAAAGATCTTTAAAATTGGACAATGGTTGTTCACTTTTACAACGAAACATAAAACACAAAATATTATAGACATTGAGTTCGTAAACGTTAAGTGCTTTAACGTTTTTAAATAAAATATTTGAATGAGAAAAACGATTTTCGAAACATATTAAACGCATTGCGTGTTTCTGACGATGGTAAAGATTTCGTAACTTACTTTTAGAGGTACTTCCCCAAACAATATTTGCATAACTTATATAGCTATGAATAAACGAGTAGTAGAGTTGAATTAAATTTTGTTTACTTAGATAGTATCTGACCTTATATAGAATTCCAATACTTTTAGCCAATTTAGTAGAAATATAGTCGATATGATACTTCCATGTAATATTTTCATCAATGTAAATGCCTAAAAATCTTGTGACCGACTCCTTTTTTATTTCAATTTTATCAATAAAAAGTTTAGGCAATTTGTTTGGTAAAAAACGCTTTTTAGCAAGAAGTGGAAAAGGATCCACTTTGTTTTGTCAATGTTTAAAGTTAACTTGTTGCACTTAAACCAGTTGGAGATCTGATTGATTCTTTATTCATATTTAAAAAAAGCTCATAAATGCTACTGTTTGACAGAAATAATTCATTGTATTATATGATAATTCATAGCATGTTATGAACTCATGATATATATTTAAAAAATTAATAATTGCTGAAAAAACTTTCTTGTCAGGCTTTTTAAGTCTAGAAGTCACCGCTATATTGTAAAACAACGTTTTAAAATCTTCCCGCGAGAACTGAACGACAAATTATTACGTCACCCGCAGATAATCTAAGTAAACCCGAGACTGGCCTTTAACAACCTGAGTACCCAAGTATGACAAAAAATCTTTGTCATACTAGGTTAGAATAAGATTCTTTTTCAACAACAACTTTAAAAAACCCTGGTTTCTATCGACGCTTCAATTTAAAACGCATTTTTTACTGATTTACATTAAAAACACAATAAAAACGCTAATATTAGCCATCTTTGAAAAATGGCTAATATTAGCGTTTTTAATGTCGATTTTTATAACTTAACATCAAATTAGAGTACTTTCCTCAAGTTTTCAGACCTATGTTTTCATATAATTTAGAATCAGTATAATGTACTCTATCAAAATCAATCATAAAAACAGGGAGGGGGGGAAGAAAGTTGAGTATATATATTACTAATAAGAGATGTACAATATGTATTACTAATAAGATATTTGCCCAATATATATGGTAATAATCATGCCACAATAAAACTTTAAACACTAAAATGCGTCTCACAACGTTTATTAATAAGTTTATGTTTTTGGTGTAAAATTGTAGGCCACTTTTGAAAAAAAGTTTAAAACAACTCTACACCATCTAATGTTGATACACTTTTATATAAAGCTGCTCAATAAAAAAAGATTTGAAAAAGATTTGAAAAAGCCTTTTTATCTGTTTTGTGACACCGTTTTGTAAGCAGCTTTACAGTGTTAACAGTTTTACACCGTGTAACTGATAAAGCTCACACCGTTTTATGAAAAACACCGTTTCATAAAACAGCGTAAAACTGAAATTTTAACTTTGTAAAAAGGTGTAAAACAGCTTTAAGGAAAAGTAGGGAGAAGTGGGACGCGGGATAAGTGGAATTTCTAATTAGGAGTGGTGCCTAAATACTGTTAATTAATTTAAAAAAATAAAAGTTTGATTATTTCGATAGGTAAAATTTCTTGAACATTTTTATGTCGATTAGGTGATTTTAAGTTTTTTCTATTTAATAATTTGTATTAAAATGTTGTTTTAAATTTATTTGTTATATTTCTATTCACACTTGTTTCCCTTTACCCTAGTGGGACGGTCTCTCTAGAAGCAAAAATTTATATACTTACTTATAAATGGCTGGAAACCTAAGGAGATTGAACCGGTGCCTAATAGAGGGTTTATTCTTAAAAACTTGTTTAATTTAGTTTATACATCAAATAAAAAGATATTGCAATAACACTAAAAAAAATTTACGTGTCCCTCTTCTCCACCAATTAAAAGGGTTCACTCTGAAGCTTAATTTTTAATAAAACGGTGAAAAACACTTTTTTTTAATCACTACACCGTTTCAAAAAGGTGTAAAAATTGAGTAGTTACACTAAAACGGTGTAAATTTACACTTTTTCTTAAAAAAGTATCAAAAAACACCGTTTGAGGTAATACTAACACCAAAACGGTGTAATTTTATACCTTTTAATAAAGAGTGTGTTATGCTTTTTTCTTTTATACCTTTTAATAAAAACGTTGTAAAACGGTGTAAAACAGCTTAACACCGTTTTACACCGTTTTTATTAAATAGTGTAAAAGAAAAAAACAACACAACATTTGATTCGTATACCTTTTTAAAAAGGTGTAGTGATTAAAAAAAGGTGTTATTTTACACAGTTTTATCAAAAATTAAACTTTAAGGTGTATAATTACATCAAAACGGTGTAAATTTACACTTTTTGAAAAAAAAAAATTCAAAAAACACCGTTTGAGGTTATATTAACACCAAAACGGTGTAATTTTACACCTTTTAATTAAGAGTGTATAATAGCAGATTTAAGAGACACATGTACATTGCAAGGAGAAGGACGATAACTCATCTCACTGTATATAGGAAAAGATTTTTTTTTTTTTTTTGTTATTCATTTCCTCAAGGCTGATAGGGCCACTACAGACGAGGAGACTACTTAATAGTGGTTATAACCCTCTCTCAACTCTATAACTCTGAAACACGAACCTTGACGAACAAGGCCGCTGCGCGGAGAGTAGTTAAGTTTCGTTTAGTCTCAATTGGTTATACATTATAAAATTTTTAGAAAAAAAAGTTGAGACGTAACATTGTGAACGCAGACTTTTTATTTTGTGACAATGTAAATATTTGATACGAAGTAACTTAAATATCTTACTTTGAATAACGTAACTTTAAAATGTTGTAGTGGAATATAATCGACCGGTGTGTCATTTGTAAATAATTCGAGACATAGGGAAACACTGTGTACACTGTGTTTCATGAATAAGACTGCATATAGTTATTTATATGCTGCTATATCTATCCGATTATACCTATTTATTATATATAAATAAAAAAGTTAAAGTTTAGTTGACTAGTATAAGTATATTTTTTTCAAATGCAGTTCATTTCATGTGTGCAACAAATGCCATGCATATATTGCTCTAGCCATTTAGAAGAATAATAAAATAAAAAATGTTTAACTTTTTAAACTTTGATAATATTGATTACGTGCAAAACAGTGCCCTTCGTCGGAAATTTTTCCAAAACAACTTATTTTATCATGAAACATCTATATCCTATAAATAAAGATTTTTGAAATAAAAAATGTTCTTAGTTTCTTATGAGCTCAGGCTTAAGTCAATATTGTATACTAAATGTAGAATTAAACACACAACAGTAAGTATCTAAAACAAATATTTAGTTATTATCTTTTTTTTTTTAATGTATAGTGTAAATTTTATTTATTCACTTTTTTTATTTTTATTTATTAACATCTTAGACAATAATCCGAAACCCGTCCCAACTACGTGTGAAAAAGGTAATAAATGTACTTCTTATTTTCAAAATCAAAGTTTTTTATTTGTTTGTTCAATATATTTATCATTTCAGCTTTATTATGTTTTCTAGTGAATTAATTTTGGTGTTACTTTAAAGGGTTTGGCATAGTTATATAGCTTTTATTAACGTATATTTAATTATTGTTTTTTTATCATAAATAAAATTTTTATATTAATAATAATCAATATCCAATAAATAAATTTCTATCACTTAACATTAGTAATACATAAAGTACAGTTAGTAAAGTTAATAACTCTTTATAATGCAGAAAATATTTTTTATGCATCTGGTTTTGTATCTTGTTTGTTTTTGGTTATATAACACTCTAATGATTTAAAAAGCGTGAAATTAGATCAAATCACTATAAGTTATTTTTTCTTTAAAAAAAAAAATAATAATTTAATCTACTATTTTTCACTTAGTAATATAAACAAATAAGTTAATTTTATGATTGCATCTATGTGTGTATATTCACCACTTTCAAATATAGAATTAGAAACTTTGAGAGAGAGGCCACGTTTTTAGTTTAAGAAAACTTTGAAACATATAACGTATTTATAATTTTTTATATTTCAAGTAAACGGTGGCTTTAGTGAATGGTCTTCGTATACTAAATGTTCGTTGACTTGTGGTGGTGGTAAAAGAGAACGCTTTCGTACTTGCACAAACCCTGCTCCTGCTTGTAATGGAAAACCTTGTTACGATGCTACATCAGAAACACAATCATGTAATTTGCAGAGATGCCCAGGTTTATTGTTAATTTGATATTATTATTATTATGAAGATGGTAACGGTAATGGTGATGATGATGGTGATGATGATGATGATGATGATGATGATGATGATGATGATGATGATGATGATGATCATATGGATGTTCGGTAGAGCAACGCAAGTGTTCTGTATTGCAACTCATTTGTTCGGTAAAGCAACGTGACGCGGCCTATGTTCGTTTTTGCAACCATTTTGTTCGTTATCGCAACTTGTTGTTCGTTATTGCAACCCCGGGAGCGCATGTTAAGCTTTATAAACTTTTTGTTTTTTAAAACACTTACTTGATCGTAAGCCGGTACAGAAAATTGTCTGACCTCCATCGAAAATATTTGTATTGTTTTTACAGCAAATAAGTAATGTCAATCATATATATTTAAAACTAGAACTAAAATCGCTTTTAGGTGAAATGTATGAAAACAAGGATTAAAATTTATCACAAGCTATTTTTTTCTTTACTATATATATATATATTTATATACTTTTTTTTTTCAAGACAAGTTGCACTCCTAAAATGTCGTGTGTTCTTTGCAACAAATTTTTTGTTGTAGATGGATGTAATTTTTGCAACCAATGTTTAAGTATAAAGTTTTTTTTTTGTACTTTTGTTTTATTTAAAATTAAAGGTTTTAAACAAAAATTTTTTTATGATTTGCATTTTTTTACTTTCCCTTTTTTAAGGTAGTACTAGTGATATTGAAGATTTAGATATATTTGTCATAACAGGTATATATTTGTTCTCATTTTTGTTGTAGTCTGTACTTTTGTTGTAGTTTGTAACATATTCTAAATAAGTCTTCATAAAATCACTCATTAAATTGACTGTACAAAAGAAAAGATTCAACTGAATGATGACTTGAAATCAAATTTTATATTTTGAGATAAGAGATTATTAAGTTATATAGATTCACAGATGTGAATATATATAACTATATAGCTCCTTTGCCTCAGTATCTTTTTTTATCATTATTTGTATTAAAATAAGAATATAAATAAATATTTATAGCATTGAATCTGTTTACAAAAAGTAGCATGATGGAAATTGCATCTTCTCAGTTGCTTAAATCAATTTATTCTGGTCAAGTAAGTAGCCTTATTTACAGTTTGCAGATAACTTCTGTATCACAAAAACAGACATAAAAACTAATATATATAATATATATATATATATATATATATATATATATATATATATATATATATATATATATATATATATATATATATATATATATATATATATATATTTATGTATATGTATGTATGTATATATATATGTATGTACATATATATGTATATATATATATGTATGTATATATATATATATATATATACATATATATATATATATATATATATATATATATATATATATATATATATATATATATATATATATATATATATATATATATATATGTATATGTATATACAACCCTTGGAAACAAATCAATGAGCAATATTTTATGTAATTCTAATAAAACAGATCAAAATCTTGTGCAATATTAATTTTTTTTCTTTAAGATAAGAACTTTTAGATAAACTTGGTTGTACATATATAAATTATAATAAATATTGTATTAACATGGTATAGTTATTGAATTAATTAAAATTACAAAGACAAAAATGAAATACTGATAAAGTTAACTCAAATGAAAAGATGGAAATAAGGATTTTAGCATGGTTACCTAACTAATGAAATTATAAAATTATAGATGTAAAGATAACTAGCTAATAAGTTCAATTAGTTGGAAATCCATAGTAATAGTCAATTAGTTGGAAATAAATAGTCAGTTAAATTGTCTGTTCAATAAGTTGATTAATTTCGACTTTCAGCCAAGCAACTTTTAGTTGATTTATTCAAAATCTATAACAATATACTGTTTAAACTTTATTAAATGATGTTTGCTTTAGTAATATTTTTACATTTTATTTTCAGTTATACAGTTACAGACATAACTGGTTTAAAGCGGGTGGAGAAGATAAAAGTTTGTTTTACTTACAAATATATAATTTTTAACTTTTTTTTTTATTTTTTCCTGAATATTGCGCTTCTTATGCATTTCCGTTTCTTTATAGGATGTCTTCGTAATGCAGATCTTCTTAGCCTATTATCAGAGGATCAATCAAATGAGCTTTTTAAAGCTCTTGTTTTAGCATTTAATAGTTTAAAAGTGAGAGTCATAATATGTTATATTCTTATTTACTTTTATTATTATTTATTTTTTTGAAAATAGTCATTATAAAATCCTGTATTCGTTTAAATAATTCACTTTCTAACATTAATTTTTGTTTTTTCCCAGTGATTATCTTTTTTAGGATAGCGACTATGTATTTAAGGTGCTAGTCCCAGAATCAATAGTATTTTTATTTGCCAAATTTAGTAATGTTTCGAGAATAAAGGTATCTAAATAGGCTATGCGTTTCAATTTCTTTTTTTAGTAAATAATTGTTTTTTGAACTAAATATTTTATTATTTTTATTAATTGTAAACTATTTTTATTAATTTTTTCCCCTTTATTAATAGGCTGAAGTAGCTCTGAATGCCTACATTTCTGAAAAGTAATGCAAACTGTTAAAAACTGATGTTGTGATTTTCATTTCGTTTTTATTTTTGAGTCTAATTAATAAAGAAATTATTATTGAGTTTATTTTTTAGAAATAATAAACTGTTCTGTAGCTCTCTAA